CAGAGCACACTGTTAAAATGCTCCTTTAATCAGAACAATGGCACAGAAACGAGGAACTCAGAAGGCTCAGCTGTTCTGTGGTCTAGGGCAGGTGGGAGAGCTTCATAACTGAGGTACTGATCCCAGTACCTTAGAGCCAACAAAACCTCCCATGCATCAGCTTCATCAGTACCTCCTCAGTTATTCAGCGCTTGAGTTAACCTCTCCTGAAAGCCTCTGTGACTTTTCCTTTTTGCTTTCTCCTTCTAAAGCTCTCTCTTTTTTCTTTCCTTTGTTTGCATACTGGAACTAATATCTGATAAGAAAAAACAGGTTGCTGTGGCTGTCTGCTTGCTCTCCAGGCAGGTGACTGCCCTCACCTTCCATCTGGCAGCTGTAGATAATACTCCAGAAAGTGTTTTTTGCACTTCCAATGCACCAAAGAGGTGATAACTTTGTTCAATCTCTCAGCACTTTTCCCAAGAGTAGTAGTAGATGATACTCCTTGCATCGAGAGAAGTACATGGTGGCATCCCTGAACATTCCCTGTCTTTCTCCTCCTCATCCCTTAAGCATCTGCACTGTGCCTTTCAGCCCTTCTTAGGCAACCAGGGGAACAGTGAGAGGCTCCTTGCGGAGCCCTGCAAAAGGGTCTTGGGGGACTGCCGATGAGCTCCTGTCTCTCCTTGCAGTACTTTCACTGTGTGTGACTGGGTCTCAAATGTCTCAATTTTATTCCCTTGCTACATCTTAGACTGTAACAACTCCTTCTTCCCACATCTGTCAAAAAGCAACAGCCTAATGGAAGAATTAGCATGCTCAATTCTTCAGGAGAAATGTTTGAAGGTGACTTTTACAAACTGAGGAAGCCTTGCCGTGAAGTCTTGCTTTATTTCTTATATGGATATTCATTTCATGCATCTGAAGTGCACCTCGTTGAAACAGAACACTGATAATCACTTTATGTTCTTAAAGTAAAGGCTAGACATAATATAAGTTTGATGAAACTTTAATGTGCAATTATGGGTAATATGTGAAATAATTTGTAGACAACTTTTTTCTCAAGTAGTTAAAGTATGCTGGGGGTTTTTGCTGGATGAACAACTTTTGAATGGTGTAAGCGTTCAGAGCTTTATGAAAGTGGAATTTTGTAGATATTAATAAATCACTGGGTGGAACCAAGATTTCTTACATACTTTGGATGAAACTGGGCCCGTTGAAGTCAGGGAGAATTTTACCTTTAACTTCAGTAAAATCAGAGTTTCATCCTCCCATTGTAACAGACCTTTAACAGCTACTTATAATCTTGTCAAAAACTCTGTTTGAGTGAAACTGATCCCATAGGGCTTTTATTAAGACAGAATGAGAGTGGAGGAGGGAAGCTTTTAAATATTTCTACTTGAAAGAGCTCTAGTGTGAACAGTGCTGGTGCTCTGACAGTATAACCCTGATGTGGAGTTGGTCTGTAGCTCAGGCGACTGCTACAGTGAGCACAGTCAGATTATTCTGTAGTGACCATATTAAAAGGCTGGTTTATATTTAAATACCAAGGCCTCCTTTCTCATCCTGCAATAACAGCAATCCAGGAGAAGCTGTGTTGTAATCAGCTGTAAAAAATGGAGTATGCAAGCTTTGACACGGTGCTTAAAACCAATGTGTGCAAATACCACTCCAGCTGATGTTTGAATGAGCAGACCCAGATATCACAGACCTTGAGCAATACACCAAAGAGAAATCTGTATGCAACAACCCATACTTCCAGCCCCGCAATCATAGGGGGTGGCTGCTGTCTGCTTTTTATCCCGTGTATTGTAGGAAATCCAGTCTCTATGAACCAAGAGTCAGATTTGTGGTACTGTTTTTCAGGTCCGCACATATTAATGAAAAACAACTACTGTGGGGTGCAGAGCTCTCTGCAGAAATTCAGGGTGATAAACTCTGTGCAGTCTATCAGGATTCATGGCTGTGTTGTGTGTTAGAAGATGTTGCACCCACATCAGGAAATGCATACCTGGTAAGAGGTAGCCAGGAGAGTGTTCACTGAGCATTTTAAAATTACAGAAGGGCCTCAGCCGGGTGCTTCTAAAATTAGAGTATAACAAAAAGGCATAGCCAGCTCACTTGCTCAAGACGGCCAGGTTAGAAATGGCCCTAGGATTGGAAAGGTGAGAAGAAAATGAACATACCAGTATCAAGAGGCAACTTGCAAAAGGAACTTCTTTCAGAGAACCCGTGCAGTGAAGAGGAAGGCTGCAATCTGGGTGCACTTGCAGCTGCTAAACTCTGTTCTCTTTGCACCCAGACCCAGGAGATAGCACCTGCAGCATCCTAAGGGACATGCTGCCTATTGCAGGATGAGGAATTCAGGGAGGGCACAGGAGTAGCCCTGGTACCTGAGACAGACTGCAGCTTCTAAGGCAAGTCTTGGCTGCACAGGACTCTCCAGCTATGTATGTTATCCTTACATTTATTGCAGGCAAAAATAGTTCTGGGGGTGGACTTAATTCCATTAGGTCACATTTTCTGTGTATCTTGTCTTCATTTCTATTCAGTGTCAGCTCAGGAACATCAACAGCCTTCCTCATTACACATAAGATATTTTTCCAGAGGCATGTTACAATTCATAGGACATTCAAGTGAACCAGAAGGTCTTACTTGTGATTCTGCATTGAATCTTCCTTCACTTAGCTTCCCAGCTGTTCTGGGTATGAGAAGGAACACGAGGATTCCTTCCTTGAGATTTACAGATGACCCGTGTAGAGTATTAAAGTGTTGTAGAGCTGCAGCCTTTCAAAAATTTTTTTGAACCACTGGTATACAAACAGGAAATGGACTGCAGTATAACGTCAGCTTTATGATGGCACTTCAAGCAAAGTTTCTTAACTCAAGAAAATTAAATTTGCAGTACTTAGCACAGGAGATATAACAATGCACTATAAGGATGGCAGGCTGGCTTTCAAGTGCCCATTAGAGTGATTTTTATGAAAAGCATGCAGGTTCTGGACAGGATGCTGCTAGCACCAGATTGTTAAATTCATCCATGTAGCTCTCTGTGACTGTGGCTTCGCTGGCTCTGGTGCCCAAGGGCAGTCTTTTCTGCAGACAACTCCATATTTTAGTGATTTTGAAATTTCTTTTACAAAAATAATGTCCAAGAGCAGTTTTGCCTAGGGCAGATATCTCAGTCTTTAGTCATTTATTTTCTGTATTGTAGATTTTCTGTCTATTCTCATAAAATGATACATTATCTCTGTTCTGAGTTGGACTTCTTTTTTTCTTTTTATGGTTTCTGATCATTATATCTTATATTGCTGATTACTGTTTGCCTTTTTCCCTTCCTCCCTTCCTGCTTCCCAGATCATCCTCATAATACCATCTCTAGCCAGCATTGTTATTGCATTTCTGTGTCCTTATTTTGCCATTTCCACATATTGATAGAGCTCCAGAATTTCTGTATGTTGGCAGCAAGTGGAGCTGTTTCCCCCAGTTTATTGTCCATGTAGCTTCAGTGCCCCAGTAAGGCATCATCATGTTGTATTGAATTGCTGAATGCTGTGCCATCTGTACCCGGACAGATTGTTACACTTTATGATCCTTTTGGATAGAAGTTCTCATAGCAAGAATACTCACTTTGATGTGGTAATATGAAGCATGGAGTATCAAAAGTGGGCAGTCTGGCTACACAAGGCTGCTGCAGCAAGAGAGGATACTTTGGCATCCTGGTGGCAGAGCATTGAGGCTTTACTTGCAGAATTTTGTCCCTCAAGGGAAGTAGCTTAGTGAGGAACCAGAGCTCCTCTCCTGCAGTGTCCTGTAGTACCCCAGCACAGGGTAGCCTTTGGTGCTTTGTGTGTCTCCACTCAGTTGTCTCTAAGACAGTAAAGTGGGAAAGGCATATGTGTATTCTTCATATAAAATGAGATTTGCATCCTCACCATCCCGAGCAAACCATTTGAGACATGCAGGTAGCAAAAACGGCCCAATTAAAAATAGATTTTCATTGTGCTATGTGCTGCATGCAGCTAGTAAAGTCAGCTTTGGCTCTGTTGATGTATTTTATATCAATAAAACTAATATATCATAGTGCTCAGAAATGTGCCTCAGGCTTTTATTTGCATTCATCTCGATCTGCCAGTCACACAGAACCTCCATAAGATGTCTGTCTTTTCTAAGGCTTTTTCTAGCTCAGGGATTCCCCAACAGTGGGGCAGAACTGTTTCCCCAAGCGATATGCCAGGCACAATGTCCCAGCCCTCTTTTCCTGACAGTAATTCACAATACGTAGGACCAAACTGGTCTGCCTGATTTGTTCAGAAACTAACTGTAGCACTATATGCTTAGCTTGGTGGGAGTTCCCAGAATATTCATTTTGTTGTGGCAATACAAGGCAGTAAGCATGGAGGCAGGCAGATGGTTTTTTTTCATTAAAAAATTACCTATTTGGAGATGCTGTCATAGTCTGTCCTGCCTGCAAATGTAGCATTACTTAATTCATGTACTTTTTATTTGTTCAAAAGTTATTTGCAGAAGGCAAGCATTGTTCCCCCTTTTGTATGCAGGGAATTTGGGGTAAAAAGGGTGAATGATCCTGTTAGACCTTTTTCAATAGCTAAGATAGGAGAAATCAGTACTTCTTTGCATCTGTAACAATGCTTTACTCAGAAGTCAGATTCCAGGTTTGGTTGCAGTATCTACAGAAAGCAGATAAGAATGAGATTGCAGCAGGAGCACCAGCACAGGCCTTTCTGCACATACAAATAAGAAAGAATGATGTTGCTGAAACTGCTTGCCATTGTGAAAGCCGTTGGTGTGGCTGAGCAGTAGATAAGACACAAGCACAGCTCTCCAGCTGCTTTATCTCCCACTCGGGCAGGGGCTGCTGTGACTATGGCTATGGCTCAGCAAAAGCCAGGAGCTGCCAGGAAAAGCTTGCTTGTGTTGGTGCTCAGGTATTACAGCGATGGGCCTTAATAGAAAGGCATTGACAGAAACTGATGGGTTTTCTTTTTACTCCCCCACAGACTGACCATCTCTGCTGAGTGTCCCATGCAGCTTGAAGATTTCCCCATGGACGCACATGCCTGCCCATTAAAATTTGGAAGCTGTAAGTTATCTTCTCAAGTGAGATCCAGAAAGTTCCCTGTCTGGCTTTTTGTGTTCAGTGGTGCTTTGTACAAGCCTTTTTGCACTTCTCTTACTCCTCTCCTTTTAATACCACATGTATTCTGTGTCCTTCCTGGTCAGCTGAGAGCAGATGGGTGGTGTGCAGCCATACCAAGGGGTGAAGCCAGCCTACACATCCAGTATTGGATGTGGACAGATAAGTTGATGACTGCAGTTTTGCTTTTGAAGAAAAATGGAATTTTCATTGGAAAATATCAGATTGTGCTGTTGTAGTATTCACACAAATCAGACTGCGGTGCAGTATGTGCATTGTGTATATTAACAGAGAACTAGAACACTGAAAGAGGAAATCTCTCTCCATTTGGTTTTAATAAATCCAGTCCTGTATCTTGTTCCATGATTTAGTGTACACCTATATTTGTGTATATGCACACATTATTCTAAATTGTATGCAGAACGATGATTTTTCTTCAGTTGCAAGCCTCTAATCCACCATACTGGTCCCTTGCCAGAAGCTTACTTTAAAAATAACCTCAGGGGATCAGATGGTTATATTTAAATACAAAGCTCTTAATTAAAGTACAGATGAGGCTACTAGAGTAGGCATTTTTTATTTCAGTAATCAAATCAGAGGTTCCAGGTGCAATCAGTGTCTCTAAAGACTTTTGAAAATAACCAGGCAAGGCAATTTGCTTGTCCCTAAAGCCACCTAGCTTCAGCATTTTTCAGTGTTTTTTCAGTCATATCAATTTAGAGTCACTAATCCTACCAAGATTAAGCTTTGTCTTTATCTTCTGTATCTGCACTGGTTTAATACTGGCTATGCATTGTCTTCTTTTGATCATACTAAGAAGTAAAAACACTGCTTACAGTAATGATTACCAAATTACCTAACTTAGGATGAATTGCTTTCCCCTCCCTCTTGGAATCCATATAAACTCAGTGCTGTCTAAACAGCCACCAGTATTTTGCAAGGTCACTGTCAGTTCAGGTGTGTCTCTTTACCTCGGCAGTGTTAACTTATTGAAAGGCCAATACAGATCTGGAGGTATAATACTCCTTTACATTCAACTTAAAAAAAAAAAATACAGGCAAACCATGTATTGCATTCTGAACTTGAAAATGGGAAAGAATCTCACAGGAAAGTGTGATTATTTGTATATAGGGTTAAACCAAAGCTACTTGGGGAAAAAAAAAAAAAAAAAAAAGAGAAGATATCCTTCCTGCTGTTACATGTTATGTACTGTACTAGTAATATTAACACATAGGAAAGACTGAATTTTTTTTTATTAGACATATGAAGGTTGACTATGATTTCAGTTCGTGCTACTTTCTGCACTCAGTATACAATCCAAGTTTATTTTATAAGCTACTGCAAGTTATCACTATGGTCTCTGCAGTAAGTACATAGGAACAGGCTATTGGTAGTCTTTCAGCCTTGGGAATGTCTGTGTTATTGATCTGACAGCTCAAGAGTACTTTATTGTAATGTGATATGCAGATGTTTGCACAAGTATCAGCCAAGAAATTAGAGCTTATTTGAATTAGCCCAGCTGTATTTGAGGAGAGTACAGTACTAATTTCCTATTTCCATCATTGCAGGTTTGCATTAAGTCATGTACAAAATAAACATGCAGGGATTTATTATACACAAGCACAGACCCTTTCTTCTTCAGCTTTTCTCCTTATTTTTCCCCAAAGGATTTGTTTTCAATGGTTTTCTTTCCAAGGAGGATTTTGAAAAGCTTCAATGGCTAGCATCAAAGCAAATGTTAAACACACTGTTGGCGAAGCCAGGAAGATGAAGAGAAGAGGAATGCTCACTGGTCAGTGGGTGGGAGTGCAGGGCAGCAGAATAAAGTGGCCGAGATAGGATGGATACACAGGGAAAGGAGTTTAAGGGAGTGTCAGTGTGTCAGCACAGGTGGGAACAGTTGCTATAATTCTGCAAGCAAAAAGGAAAAAGCCCCGACATTTCCTTCAATATTAAAGAGTAGAAGCGTTAATCTTCCTCACAGAAATAAAGGTAAATGTTGATTTCTTATATCCCATTTCACTGGGGTTTGCTGTATTAAAATACAGGAGATTTTATGGTCTGAAGCAGCATTATATGTGATGAGAATATTTTGCAGAAATAATTTAAAGCAAGGTCAAATACAGAAAAGGAGATATAATGGTATGTATGTGCACATACCCCCAACCTAGATAGCTGCTGGGCAGTTCACATACCAACTACAGAAGTAATACTCTACATGCTGTTTCAACTTGATGATCTTCAAGGTCTTTCCAACCTAGATCATTATATGATTCTATTCCCTGTGGAGTGTCATGAAATGGTATGCTTGCCAGAGGCCAGAAGTTCAAGGACAGCTACTAATGAACTGAATGGAGAAGATTTTAGATGTCTTCTGCTTTCTGTAGATTTCCCCAGTGCTTGAAGGTGGCCAGCTCAAGCCTGCAGTGTGGTATATGAGTGCTATTCCTCCAGACTTGTGCCCCTTCTACCTGTAAAGCCACCCTGTGGAATCTCATTTAGAGCTGGGGAGCTGGGGATGGTGTGTGAGGGCCAGAACTCTGCAAGGAAACCCCTCTGGCCCCTAGTCAGGATTCTGATGTGATGGCCATGGCAGTCTCTGTGTCACAGCAGCTTGGCATGGGTGCTAGTTTCTTCAAAATAAACTTCCCATGGTAATTTTACCACTGACCTGCACTCTGAATAAATTTGCAGGCCAAACAGGATCTAGTGGCACTTCCTGGCACCAGCCATGTTTTCACAAGCTGTGTCTTAGCCTGAAGAAATTCCTCCTTACCCCCAAGCTATTTTTGGTGTGAGAAGGAGGAATTAGGTAAGACAGAAAGGGCATTAAAGCTAGGAAGCTTTACTGTTTCACTTCTTCCACTGAGAGGCCTTAAGAGTACATTAAAAGTATCGTTGAGTGTGGTCTCTGAATGCCCATGTGTCACTGGGAAGGTAAGCATCATTATCTCCAGGGCAGCTGAGGCAGAGAAGTTAATTGACTTTCCGTAAGGCCACACAGCAAATCAATGTCAGAAAAAGGATTAGACTCAACTTCTTTGGTTGGAGGGACAGATGTCTAATCCACCAGACCATGAAGGCCTCTGCCCAGGCAACTGACTTAACTCCTAAATCTCATTTTACTCATGCGTTAATTATATCAGTTTTACCTAGCTTTCAGGGTTCCCCTGAAGATGAATTAGTTATTTGCTATTAGTGAATATTAACTGGTGATTTGACAATGTCAGATATTGGAAAGGATAATCTATTTATGGAAACGATATTTTGAAGGCACCCTGCCTGAGTACATAGATCTTGTACTGAGGAATGGATATATGCATGAATCCATTGTCGACTAGTCACTCAGTGGGGAAAAAAAAAAAAGTAAAAATTGTATTCTTTTTAGAGTAAGTGGAAATTCTAATGAATATTCTGAAAATAATGAGATTCCCCCTAGCTCACGAGTAGTGCTGTGGAAAAACAGGCCTGGCTTTTATTCCTGATGAATTTCATTTGGCTATGCAGATGGAGAAGATTGATCACTGTAGATTGCACTGAGAGTTTGCAGACTGTGAGAAAACAGTGCTAAGTAAAATTTATGGCTTCTGAAGAAAGACGTTAACACGGTTTATGTACATCTTCCCTTCTAACAGCTCAAACTGAGTCATGTTGTCTTCTGCAGCTTTTGGTAGGGGAAGGAGCATCGGCTATTTCTGTGGCAGAAAACACTCAAACTGTTTTTCTCTGAGGTGGCTGAAGTTGGAGTAATGGACAGAAACTTCACCATTACCCCAGGATTTTATTGTAGCAGTGAACTAGTGCTGTGAACTGTTCACAATCAGTCCATGTACCTACAGACACTGAGAAATTTCTCCAAAAAAGTTTTTTAAGGAACTTCCACCAGTGCTGAAGTTTCTCCATGATGCTCATAATAGCTCTGAGGTGGAAGCACCTGCAGGAAGTTTCTTGATTTTATGCTTCCTCAGATTGAAACTGTGAGACGGCAGGAGAACTGCACATGTGGAGGGACAACTCCAAAACAGATTGCAGGAAACAGACTCAAATCCCTTTTTAGTAAAACGTGACAGCAATGTATTCAGCTTCACAAAATCTGTGAATAATTAAATGCAGCTTGCTCAGGTAAAATCTCAGGTAAAGAGATTTAATTTTGCTTGTTTAGCTAATAAATCACAGTAATCAAGCCTAAACTGATTTTTCATACATCCCATAGAATTGATGGAGAACTTGGAGACCACCTAATAGAAATGGCTATTATTTGCCTCTAGATTCCTTGAAACTGTGGACACGTGACTCTTTTGGGGGCTGTGTTTTAAAAAATCAGAACGTTTTGATACACAAACTCACAGCTGAAGCATACTCACAAAATCATAGGGTACCACAAGAGCCACCAGGCTTCCCCAAATCTGCTGTGGCTCTTACCTGTTGCAGGACATAGAAATGCACTGCTCCAGAATGAGCAGAGTAGTTGATCTTGTATTGAAAGCTGTACATTGATAGCAGAGCCTTGTAAAATGGATGGGGTGGGTCTGTGACAATTTTAGCTAGACAATGACATGGCAGTTAGTTGTCTAGACTCCTTTTATGGCCACTGAAAGGAAGTAAGTACTTTGGTAGTGCAGCTCATTAGAACTATTTTTGATGACTCCCTAAGGATGAGATGAATCATATTTTAGAATTTCCTATTTCTCTACAATACTATCTCAGGTATAGATAAGAGACTTAGAAATCCATTCTTCTCTGCATAGCTAGCTCAGAAATAGATACATCTGTTGCACATTGTTCTGAAGAACTAGTTCCTATAGATTAGTTAGGTGTGGCATAAGTTCATGGTGAGCTCTTCTCTCTATTCTAGGTATGGGATAGCATTTTATGTTGGAAGGCCTATTCTTTCAAGGGAGTTGAAAATCAAAATTCAAAACTAAAAGCTCTTCTGTATAAAGATA